TCTCTCTCTCTCTCTCTCTCTCTCTCTCTCTCTCTCTCTCTCTCTTATTAGATCGCTCTATTTGACCGATAATTTTCCGGGTGTGTTCGTCGTGTTTGCGAAGTTTGCATGAGCGAACCGAGATGTTACATGCAAACAAATATACACGCGCGCGCACATACACGCACATAATTTCTCGCACACGAAGGAGAAGAGTCTGTAAATAACGGCAGCCGCGCGAATCCTTCATCGTCCCGTTAAGTAGATTTTGATACACTCCAAAAGGCGAATTAAAACGAATCGACGCACAACTAAAATATAATCTTATGTGTAAATAGCATATTTTTTCACTAACGGATACTCTTTCTCTCTCTCTCTTCTATCTTGTTAAAGAGCTAACGAATGAAATTGCTTCGGAAACGTTTAGGGAAGCGTCTGCTCGCCGATCTGCGCGAAATGCAAACCGATTGGCCTAGTTTACGATATTCTTACGGTATCAGAAAGTACTCTCATATGAATGTATACAGAGAATGCTCTCGTCACCTGCGTTCGGCGATCAAAATCGCAACCCTGCGAGCTTAGGTCTGATTATTTTTAAGTGATCTCTAATAGGCACACACATTTCACTGTCCATGTGCATTCATTTCGTCAGGTTCTGTTAGCCTTGCGCGAGTAATTTATTGGAAGCGGATAAACAATGTCGATTTTATATTTCTCACTAGGATGAACTTCATTATATCAAATCCATTGTGCGCGAGACAAAACGGAAAAAAAATATTACACCGAAAGACTGGACACCAGAATAATCAAGTACATACTAGAGTACATAATTATGTATTTTATGCAATCACGACACGATTACGTCTTAAGAGAACAAGGCTGTCTTGCATCCCATATTTACGAATAAATTATCAACGTAACAGTATATATTGTATACCGTTCTCAACTGTACTGTTGTCATAGCTATTTTGTTGTATAAAAGAATACCGGATATACAAGCATACAAATGAATATATTATATGTTTAAAGTACACCAAACGTGCGTATGTATTTTCTTTTTTAGATCACTCTATATAATTCACGAAAAGGAAAAAATTTCACGAGAAATAAAAGAGGCTAGTACAATTGAAGAAACGAGATATTATTATAAGTAAAGAAATTATGAACGCGTCATGTTTAAATTTGCTTTCCTTTTCTGCACAGACGGATAGTAAATTTTACCGCACACATACAATAATATTGAATTATCAAAATTATACCTATAATAATATTGAATTATCAAAATTATTTTTAAATGCAATACTGAGCAGATTACGTGATTGCTCGTACTTAACACAGCACAATCAAGATCTGTATCATTATGCAAATATCGACATAAACACGACCACGTGGAAAACTGAAGTAAAGCAACCGCGCTGTCACAGGCAAATTTGCGCGGGTGATGTTCGGAGATCGATAAGAGAGCCGTAAAAACAGACAGACAGCTCCATCTTGTGGACACTTGCATTACTTTTATATTAGTTTTCCGGAACAATCGGTAACGTCTACTTTTTACTTATCCTCGGAGCCATCGAAGCTCTGAGAAACTTGATAACTTCATCACGTGCGATGCTAATAACGAGTATAATTATATGCATAATAATGTGTACCGCAGAGAAAGGTATAGACTTACCGAGGCAGGCAAACCGGAAAAGGTATGAATACCAGACCTCAGAGCATTCCTTTCGTCGACCAGAAATCAGTGCACTTTGCTCTTACATCACCGTGTTCGCAATAACACCGGTTACATCGCGTCTAATCGCACCCGAGCGAATTGATTAACTCTTAGATTGCGTATATGCGGCTGATGAAAGTTCTCGCTGTGTGCGGACGACATTCAACGCTGACTATGTGCAGAAGTGAGATATCGTGACGGTTGGTGCAAATTCCGTACACAGCGATTGTTGCAGAACGGCTTACAGTCTAACGTTGACACGTTCAAACGATCGCCCGTCACTTGATTCGACATTCCCGACACTCGATTACACGCGGACTCACTACCGAGGAGTAGAAAGATGCAACGAACACGAAGCGATCGCGAGCTGAGCAGCGCGAGTACCATGAAGTGTAAACAACGCGAGTCAATTACGAGTCAACGTTTTTGAAATGAACGGAGCATTGTGATTGGGCAGTTTAATTCAACGACATAGCCTGCGATGTACACATACAGTGGCCTCTTTCCTAACGGATCCCGACGTGTCAAGACGTAATCCTAAGATCGTCCCGTATTTCGCGAGGTTTCGAATCGCACAAGGTGAGTCTCGCGCGCGAATTGTCGTCCCGGGCAATGTCAAGAGCGAGCTCTGAGCTGGTATCGTGATAGATTATCGTGAAGTAGCCTCTGCGACCGAATATCTCACAAATAGAGTCGTCGGGAGTGTCGGGTAAAACGACGAGCGTCTGTTATGAAAACTCAAATCGCCGCGTCTTGCTCTTCCGACCTGTCGGTGCAATTTCGCGCGCGAGGCATTGTCGGGAGTATTATTGATTGCCGAAAATAAAAATCTCGCGAAATGGTCGTTAAAAGAGGCAAGTAAAGTATCACGCGTTCGTTTACGACGAGTCGAAGCAGTGCACTGAGAGAAAAGACTGGTAACTATAACAACTTAGTTACAGAAATTCGTTGAATCCTTAGTAACTAATACTAAATATGATAATAATAACAAATATTTAATAGATCGGGAGTATGACGTAATTGCATTCACAGTAACATCAATTAAGTAATTTAGTAATAGTTAATAATATTGAATATTTAATATGAAATATATTATAGTTATGAACAGATATTTGATAATTGTTATGAAATGCTTATATCCCATGTAATAAAATATTCAGTAAGTACAAATTCTATTTTGTTACCAACATAAGTATGTTTTGTTGTAGCACAACGAAAAATTTATTCATTTGCATTTTTTATTACATCGTTTCAATATCTATTATTACAGATGGTTGGTTGAACCTACCAAACATTTTGTAACTATTACAAAATCGCTTATTTTGCTCAACTATTCAATAAGTTTTATTTACCAAATATATTTTGGAAGCAAATAAATTTTACTTCTGTCAAATAAATAATTTATTTTACAGAACTAAATTAATTAATAAGTATTGCCATAGCTTTGGCCCGCTATATTTACGTCTACCATTTAGTAATAGTAACCAAATTTTGATAATATTTATTAAATTCTTCTCTCAGTGTGGTAGCCAAGCTCGCGTTCGAAGCGCCAAGTAGTGATCGCGAACAGAGCACTGAGCATCGCGACATGAAAACGGCAAGAACCAATCGCGAGCCGACATATTTTAAATTGAATTGAGCTTTGTGATTGGGTGGTTGCGCGCCGGCCGATTTGATATATCGAGATAGCCAATCACTATGATATGCATCTGTGGTCTCTTCTAGGACGGATCTCAACGTGACAGAACGTAATCCCGAACTCGCCCAGTGTTTCGCGAGGTTTCGGATCACAGAAGGTGAGTCACACGCGCGAATTGTTGTCCCTGAGAACGCCAAGAGCGAGTCTCGTGCTGGTGTCTTAGTAGAATATCGTCAAGTAGCCCTGAGAGCGAATATCTCGCTAATCGAGTCGTCCGGAATGCCGCGAAACGACGAGTGTCTGTTACATTATGGCGGCTGAATATTCAAATCTTGTATTACTCGAGCTACCGGTGGAGTTTCGCGCGCGAATCATCGTCGAGTATGCACCAACCATCGGTAACATAACATCAATGTTATAATTTCCCACTCAACAATGTGTAAGTGCAACGCGTGTGTTATGTAACGGTTACATTGTTGAATGGAAAATTATAATATTGATCTAATGTTACTGATAGTTGGTGTTTGGAATATTGAATGTGGAACTTGAAATGGTTCTGGGGAATATTAAGCGACCGAATAATAAATATTTCGCGTTCTCGGATTAAGACGAGTCGGAACGGTCAAGTTTACATTCGAAGCGTCGTGTAACGTTGAACAACAGATTGAAAACGTCGGAACGCACAATCGCACCTTTTATCAGTAACTATATCTTCATCTGTAGAAATGTGCGCGGGAAATCAGCGGTCGCTACGAGCGAGAGTACCGTGGCGATGAATGCGACGTTTCATCGCAGTGACGGTTCGACAGGCGGAGCAGATACGGATTCCTGACAAGGCTTCGTGCACGGAGCGAGAGCGCGTCGCAAGGAGATCACGGAAAGTTGCTTCTCGAGAGTAGGAGACGAAGCAGCTCGAGGAGGCATGCTGTTGACGAATGATCTACCGCGAATGCGCTCGATGTCGACAGATAACGAACTGTCGCCGAAGATTGTGTATCAGGTGAGTGCGCAGACGACATTCGTACATGTAAGCTAGCATATATGTGTGGGTGCACGCATCAGACGAGCGTGCACACACACATGTGTCTAGTAAGACGCTGAGGAAACCCGTGCGCGATTAAACGTGGCAACGACGCCACGCGTAGTCGTTCACGTGACAGGGGTCAAAGTTTGCAGTCATAAATACAGTCGCGAATGACGTACATTGCTTACGGAAGAACGACATGTAGCTGATGAAGAATAGCCGTGACTGACTAAACCATGCGCGTGGATTTGTTGAGCCTCTTTGAGAAGTCTGTTTTATCGGTAGATGGTCCTCTGTTATTAAAATATTACTTTGAAAATTATGTGATTTCTTATCACTTGCTCTGTTATCGCAATTGAATGAGTGTCGCGTAAAATATTTTTAATCAGGCAATTTTTTCTTTTCGCCTTCTTTCAAAATTTGTATATTTGACCTTCTTCCAAAAGATAGAAATTTACATATTTAAATTCTCTAAAAAATTCTGAAAAAACACAATATATAATAAAAGAACGGAGCAGAATGTAATATTAAAGATTGGATGTGTATGATGGAATTATTTTTATATATATTTACATACAGTTATGTACAGCGTCAAACGATTGGCTATAATTCCCAGTTCATATAACATTTGTAGCAGACACACCGTACACAAAGTCAGACAACATATTCAGTACTAAATATGTGATCATAAAAGCATAGACAAACACACATCTATAAAAAAAAATTAGAGACAATTACACAGCTATTATTCATAATTACACATGCGCAAGATGACGCAAAGGTTGTTATAATGAAAATATTTATTCATAATTACGCGAAAAAACTGAAGTTTGCATCACTTCGTTTTCCGGTTCGTAATCAGGCCAACAGACGGTCTCTCGTGAGCGAATCGAAGTCGCGAAACTGCAGGAACGTATAAGAACAGTGCACGTGTAACCTATTCGTTGGGGCTAATGTGAGCTTCGCGTTCCGCTATAGTACGTCGTATATAGAGGGTGTATTTTAATCGAGTGGAGCCGTACAATGCCGGCATGATGTATAAGTTGTAAGGTCTGTATTCTCTATCGCGGAAGCGCATTTCTTATTGAGTTTATTCTCAATAATCTGTTTAGATATATCTGTTTAGATATCTGTTTAGATATATCTCTTCTCTTGGAGAATCTTTAAATTTTTAGCATTTAATACTCTTTTTCTTCAACGAAATCGCCTAAATCGAAGAGTGATGTTTACTGAAAATGAACTCTGAGTTAGGACACTGATTTCGTCGGAAGCAATCGCGTCTTAATCGGAATGTTTGTGAAAAGAAATTCGACCCTGATAAACTCATTCTAAAAAAACGATTTGTGCAAGATTGAAATTACATGGAGCTCAGTAGGAATCTCTCACACAAGACAGAGATCGCGTTGCGCAATAACCACTAAATACTTTTTTCTACGTCACATACTAGTTTAACTGAAAACAAAAGTCACTGCGTTATATAAACATACGCACAAACAGTATGCGCAGTAAATGCGCAGATTTTTATTCGCTGTCGAGACTCATTATCGGCGACGTGATTGATTTTATATTCCTGCACAGCCCATGTTACAACTCAATGTTCCGAATCCATCGAAAGTAACACTTTTGTTTCAAACTGTATTCGCATGAAATTGCGCCGTATTCTCTACGACTAATCGCGAATCATTCGACGCAAGCGAACGTGCATTAGACTTTAACGAGACAGCAGCAGACCATTGTCCCGTCTGCCGATCAGAGCGTACCAGTTTTTATTTTCTCTTTCGCACTTTAATCCACGCATGTATCGACGCACGAATATTAACGCAGAGCGTTGCGTCAGAAATCGTTGTCACCAGTGGAACGATAACGGAATCGACCGGAGGGGGACGGAATAATAAACGAACAAAAACGTGCAAAACAATGATAATCGTCGGCGACATCGACACGTGAGAGCCGCGCCAATTGACGACCAGCGGTCGACAGTGCGCGGGGAAGACGCGACGGTGTCGGCGCGGCCCTGGTGAGCGCGCGACGTCGTCGGAGCTCGATTGCTGAGTCACATATCGCAAGCGATCTCTCGTGGCAAGGTGCGCGTGGCGTTCGCTCGCTCGCTCGGTTTCTCCGTGCGTGACGAGCAGAAGTGTCGAGAGCGAGAAGTGTCGTAAGATCGCGTCTCGTAGTCGCGCAAGAACGTCGTCGCCGGCGTTGTCATGGCATAAGAACGGCAGAGTGCAGGCGTAATTTGCCGGCAGTTGTATACAAAATCCCTTCATCGTCGGAGTGTCGACGCGAGCAGCATCCATCGTCCTCTCGAGGAGAGACTGTCCTCTTTGGTCGTTTGGTGAGCGCGCACACGTGCGTGCGTGTTTCTGTCGTGCGTGCGTATCGCAGAACGTGTCAATTCTGCTGCTTGCTCGCGAGCTGATCGCAGCTGATCCGCGCGGACATCCACGTCTCGACGCGCCGACCGTTCGCGCGCGCTGTCAGTGCGACGATAGTGCCTAAATGCGCCGCTACGGAGCGGAGGTGCTGAGTTGCAGTTTATCAAAGAGATGTGTTGGATCGGCGTGTGTGTACGACGCGCGCGCGCATATTCGAGGTGCAGTGTAGTTTGATGTGGCTCGTGCGTGGTTTTGAGGTTATTTCGGTACCCGCTCGTGTAACTGACCTATCTACACCGCTCGACGGCGAAAGCGGCGATTCTTTATTTCTACTCCGGCACTCCGAACGACGAGTCGCGTTCCTGAATGCTCCTCTTGCACGCGACGAAGAAGAATTAAGCGACAGCCGTGCGTTACTCCGGCCAGCAGCGTAACCTAACCTAACCTAACCTCAAAGGTCGGAGCTCAGAGATCGCTGCTCGAAGTGTGCTACATCGCGCGAACACGTCGTGTATTTTGTTGTTACTCTTTCTCTCTCGCTCTCTTTCTCTTTATTTACCCAGAAGACTGTTTACTTCCGTGAGACTGTCTTTACGTTGCTCGAGACGAGATGTCAGTGAATACCTTGTGCAGTAGTGTTATCTCCTCATGATGTTAAACCTACTGTTTGTACTTACCATTGACAGCCAACCACTGTGACGACACATCCAGTGTCTGTAGGACTCTGTTCTTATCTGTGCTGAGTTTTAATTGGAGCAAGATGTTGTGCATAAAGAAACTGTACCGGGAGGAACTGCTGCAACTGGCATTGCTGCTCTCCTTACTGCGTGTAGATCCAGAGTACTATCTGGGTCTAGACATCCAGACTATCGGTGTGGGATCTTTGGATCTCAACAATGGGTCTGGATGGCACACGGACACTCACACCATTGTTCATCGTCCAATGTATGTGCACCCAAAGAATCCAGATTCCATGCTCCTCAATTATCAGAGGGATCTGTTTGAAGAACTGAATTCACTGGGAAGATACAACAGAATGAATTCTGGCTTCAATGCTATACATGCTTATCTACTGAATATTGAGGAATCAAATAGAGATACAGCAGTAGCAGGTCCTAGTGAGTCTATCTCAACAAATTCAGTGAGAAACGTGACATCTCCAGGTCAACCAAACTCCACACAAAGCCCTGCGGAACCAGTCAGCGCAGCGGAATTAACTCAAGAGGTACATCATTTGATTTTAAGTATAATTGTAATCTATAATACCACACACCAGTGTGAAAATGAAATGGAATGTGCAATACATCTCACAATATTCTAAATCATCCATTATAAAAGGAGTCACAATATGTCATAGAATATATTCACAATATATTATAGAAATTAAATTGAATTTTCATGTTCTTAAGCAGTACTATCTGTTGCTCAAGTCAAACCATTAAATGTTAAACTGCAATGTTAAATTGTTTACTTTTGTGTGATGTTAAACTTTCGACTTTTTTATTTCTTTGCTTTGCAAGGTGATGTTGATTCTTACATCATTCCCTTCACTCTTAATCTACATTATGAATGTTAAGAATGACTCATAAGTTATATTTGAACTTTTTTTCTGACAGAATATTTAAATTTTCGGTATATACGAGAATTTATTTGTTTGACTAATCATTCATTTTGAGGGAAAACAATTTTAAAGAATTCATATATAATATGCATACAAATTTTATCAATTTTATCAAACATTTAGAAGTGATTATTCTGAGATGCTAATTGCACATAAATATTAAAGTATTTTTCGATAATTCTTTCCTGTCATATTTCCCGAGATGACACAAAAATAAGTGGTCTTGTGACGTAAATCCCAGACGTCACGCTGCATGCAACAATCGGATTTAAAAATAATATCTGGCAGTGCGCACGCGAATCTGGAACATTATTTTTCTTTAGTCGAAGCGAAAATGTTCTGAAAAATCAGAAATAGCCGCGTCCCGACGCACTCATGTTGGAGGGAGAGACCTGTTGAAAGGAGAACACAATCACTCCTTTTCGTAGCAGTATATCGCGGCATGTAAATGACCTCGCGAATCCTTGCAACGACCTTGCTACCTGCTGAAGTTCCCTTCTGCCTCTCTCCTTTTTTCTCTCTTTGAAATATTAAATTAGCTCGTGCATAATTTGAATCATTAATTACAATTGAGCTAATTATTTTCACGGGATCTTACGCGCTGCTTTTATAACGGAAGATTATATTTACAGCTACAGTTTGAAGACCTCTGTCGTATTATCTCATATATGCTCGTTCTAAACGTAGAATTAGATGAGTCTATTAGAGTTTAAGCTTTAAAATATTTAAAAAAGGCTATGCCTTTGTGCTATAAAAATAATCGTAAATGGTGATTATTTAACTACATAATTGAATTTAATTACGAAGAGCATCTATGACAGTATCTGCTGTCGATCAAAGCTGAATTATTTCCATTTGTTGTGCATTCTGAAAGAACGTTGAACAATGCTCATAAGACCCTCAAGACTCGCAAAAACCACGAGCGGATGCTATAAACAGTGCGGCGCGTGCAGAAAAATAACGGGTCGATGAGTCACAAACCCACTTTTCTTTGTTGCATCTTGAGAGCGTGACTGCATTCGGTCATCGGCGGGTCGCCGGTATTTTTGCGACTTTTTGCCGGGTCCGTGCAAGCATCGGTTCTTTCCTTCTTCGGGCTAGTGTCCTTGCGCGTATGCGGGTTACCTGTACGGATTAATCTGGGTTAACTAATTGCAAATCTATCTCCGGTGGCCTAGCGACGGCTGTTTTCAGCACCGAGTTTAAGATCCTTCGATCGCCTTTAGTTACTCGTAATGACGCATCGAAATGAATATCTATACACGTCATATGATAAAAAAATGTTCTTACACGATAACATCGCGTACAATAAATAATCACACATTAAATGTGCGCAATAACTGACGTATGATACAACTCGTACAACATATATCGTGTTTTTCGATAAAACCATATTTATTTTACGAATCACTCTCTCTTCTTTTTTAGTCTCTCTTCTTCAGTCTCTCTTTATTTCTGCTCTCTTCTTCCGGTTTCTCTACACATCATCTCATTTATCTTCTCGAAATGCCAAAAGGTCTCCTCGATAAAATTGTTAGAGGGATGTAATCGTGATTGTCACGAGAGAACACACTAACAATTGATACTTTTGAAAGTAAACATCTTCCGCGCGCAAATATAATTGAAATCGATCTATCTATTATTTAAATTATATCTGTAGAATCCGAAATATTCGGTACTCCCTGCGGCTGGCCGCACGAGCATAATTAGAGATGCAATTGATCCGCCTGGAATAGAACGGTGTCAATTGGAGATTGGGTTACTAATAGAATTCTGCAGTCTTTGGTGAGCTGAGGTCACGCGACACTGTGATATCACGCGAAGGTATTCTTTTCTGAATCAGCTCGCAATAAAAGCCTTCAAGTGGAACTTTATGTTTGCAATTGAGTCAGTAACGGGCACTGTTCATATTATCACTTCGGCACGACGTATTCAAATGTACTTTTGCATGTTTTACTACGCCATACATAGAGTTGTTTCAATAGCCTTACAATTATTAAGACTGAAACTACTTTAATGAAAAACTATGCACGGACTACAAGTCCTATGCATAGAAAAAACAAGTGTGACTGAATTTTCTGTTACTTGAGGAAAAATTCGGTTGTAGAAATAGATAGATTTCTGTAGAAGGTTTCTACTCAGTCAATTGCTTTCAGTTATCTCAACTACGTTTTAATAGAGCTCAAATCGGGTACAATAACAAGGATATTATCTCTCTTTAGCAAATTCCTCGTCCGATTTCCAATTAGTTAACTAAACAAAAATATTTTTTCCCTGTACAATATCGTCAGTTTGGAATAGTATAAAAAAAGATATCAAAATTTTAATGCCTATTCCAGAAATTTCATAATCAACTGTTGGATGTTCAAAAACATATTACCTTGAAATTATAATATAGTCATCATAATGATGCACGACAAACACAAACACAAACGACGTAAAATAAGTGTGACTGAATTTTCTGTTACTTGAGGACCAAACGAAAAATTCGGTTGTAGAAATAGATAGATTCCTGTAGAAGGTTTCTACTCAGTCAATTGCTTTCAGTTATCTCAACTACGTTTTAATAGAGCTCAAATCGGGTACAATAACAAGGATATTATCTCTCTTTAGCGAATTCCTCGTCCGATTTCCAATTAGTTAACTAAACAAAAATATTTTTTCCCTGTACAATATCGTCAGTTTGGAATAGTATAAAAAAAGATATTAGAATTTTAATGCCTATTCCAGAAATTTCATAATCAACTGTTGGATGTTCAAAAACATATCACCTTGAAATTATAATATAGTCATCATAATGACGCACGACGTTTGGAGCAGGGAATGATGTAAGGAATCGGCGCAAAAGCGTTATGTCTTAATATAACGTCGATTCCTAGCATATGAATCTCACATTAAAATATGGAACTTCGTTTCGCGAAACATCTTCATATGTTAAACATGAAAGCGTTCTGTAATAACTTGTAGTTTTTATTGAAAAACGACGTAATCCAACATGAAAATACGATTAATATAATACAACAAGAAGACAAAGAGAAATGTCTCGAGTCGAAATTGTAGTTATGCTGAAATTCTGCAGCTTCCATTAAATTTGAAGTACAGTGGATCGCTAAACGGTCCAAGCACGATGAACTTGGAAGCTAACCAAGCTGTCAAAATTGAGAGTCATTATTGTTTGGGACAGGTTTATCCAGTAATTACATCACACATTAATTATTGTTAGTATTAGTATTAGTATTATTTAATGTCCTTAATTGTAATATTAATTATATTATTATTGCGTAAAAGTCTGTCGGTAATGACTCTCAATTTTGAATATTTATTTATTTACAATTTAAGTTCCCAACTCCGTTGTGTCTAAATCGTTTTACAACCTACTATATCAAAAGAAAATTTTGCGGTAAAACGTTATACAACCTTTTTATTATTACCGAAACCTACACCTTGTATTTCATTCTATTCAACTCCTGGTTATTACCGTCAAATCACTAATTGCACATGAAAAAATACGAATCGCCTGGAAATGCAGGGTTGAATAATGATCGCATGTTAACTGACAAAAATCGATACTACAAGCAACACGATGTTTCAACACATACCGCGCGTGCAATTTGATAATTTGATTTATCCTCCTCAAAGTCCGCAATATTTTAAAAATGTTAATTGTTACGATTTTTCGGTCAATGTGTATATCTGTCATTGATCAACAGGCGAAGACAGCTTATAACTGGCGAGAGGTGACTTTGTCCCTTTCGAGGAATTGTTTTGATGGCGTTGCCTACTATCTGTGATCGAGTCGCCTACTATTCCGTTATCGAGTCATTGCGTCTTGAACCGACGAGTGACGCAGAGACCACGACGCGGAGTTATTATATATATATTACGAGGTTGTTTACAATTCCCGTTGATTAAAATATTTCGTTGATTATTGACATATCAATCGCGCTCTCGTTAGTTAACATACATTCTTATGATCGAGTCGTATCTACGCGAATGTCAATAAGTGTCCAAAGTCACGGAATAGTCAAGGCAGGATTCTGGATTAAAAAGTTAGGACGCAGGACACTGAGATGCGGCTGGCGATACATCAGCTATTCTCAGGTGTGTTGAGTAATTTATTATGCAGGACGTTTGACAAACTTAATACGGATAAGCAAATACCTGATTTAGAATTCAGGAACTGCTCTAAGGTCGGCATTAAAAAAATAGTCTGCTGCAATTTGATAAATAACTTCACGAATTTCTGTTTATTAATTTATTAATTTGCATTTATATCATACAACAAAAGATATCGATTAAATTATTTAATCGTTTGAATTATTTGAGAATGTGCATTTACGAGTTAAAATAAATCATGAGAAAGAGAGAGAGGGAGAGAGAGACAGAATTATGGCGAATTTATATAACAATCCTCGCCTGCTGCGACTAAAAGTGCGCGTAAGCGTATTTTCCGTACATTACCGAGAACTGTTTCTCTCCAAATTAGATGTCTGGCCTCATTCCAATATGTAGACGAACGACTTTGACTGAATTTATCGAATCTCGGAGGAGTATGCGAAAGGATTAGCGTCTCAGTTTATTTCGCCGGTAGAATTATCGCGTGA